GGGTTCTTGGAAGAAAATTGTCATGCTGTGTGTACTGCGTTAAGTAAATGACGTCACAAAGCAATTGCCTTGTGTTCTTGGTAACCAGGCCACAGGAACATAGCGTTTTAATGGCAGATGAAAATTAATGGTTTTTGAGCGCCAAAAAATACCACTTTCCTTAATCGTATGAAGCTATAACTTGCACACCGTGTACGTCAAGTACTAAACTGCCAATCTAGCGAAAAAAAATGGTAGTCAAAGATTTGATCGTAGTAGCACTGTAAAGTTTAAACATGTCTCCATGATATAGTGGTATTCACGAACGTAACATTCCTTTCACTTAGAGAGGACATCATCTTTCAGGTTCATCAGCAGAACAGGTGCATTTGACTCTTCACAATAGGCACCTTAGGCAACAGACGTCGCTGGCCTCACGACGGCAACCGGAAACGTGACATTTCTTTCGAGATGTCACTACACATGTACAGCACATAGCACATTGTGACATGACGTTGTCCTGAAGTTGAGAACATGAGAACGTGGGGTTTTGCGTCGCGACGAAAACATGAGTACTTAATATTTTGTTTTGATCCCTTTCAGCTTACCTTTGTACCATTTTGATGCCGAACCATGCACAATGATTGCCTTTATGCTTAAAACAATGTTTTGGAAGTATTCTTGGACTCATTTTTTTTTACTGAAAAATTGTTTTTTGCATGTCAAACTAGCCTTCAGCGAAGAGTTTGTTTTCATTCAACGTAATGCCGCTTAGTATAATTACTTTTCTTTTCTGATTTTCTCAACGTACAACCCATAGATTGCTATAGCTTGAATACCATTGATTTATTTTGGCAAACCCTTCTTCTTGGTATTTCGTTTAACATAGAGGCTTTTTTAATCGATTCAGAGGAATCTGTATTCGAACAGTAAAATATCCTCACTGCACACTTACCGTATTTTATCGGCTATAAGCCGAGCGATTTTTACACATGTTTAGCCTAACTTGAATTAAAATCTGACTTGTAGAGGGGGTTTCGGCTTATAGCCGAGAGTTTAACCTGAACAAAACTTATGGACTTACTAAAACTAAGATAAATACGCATATATTCGCATACAAGCCGAGCAATACACATGGACAAAAAAGCAAGAGTTATTGGTCATTAACTTTTAATATGTGGTGGCTCCTAAAGGAGCCGTTTGTTTTTTGTTGTGAACTGCACGTTCGAGGATGTCAGCTTATGGCTCATCTGCGCTTTCCGTATCAAATTCTTCATCCATTTCATCTTCTTCGGCGTCATTGCCTTGCTCCTCTTCATAGATGGCGTCATCCTCGGTGCCGTCAAGCGCATTGGAGATGCCGCAAGTAAGAAACGATTTCCTCACCATCTCCTCCGGGATCTCCCTCCAAGACTGCTTTATCCAACGTAGAACGAGGTTTCTTGACGGCGCTTTCTTTTTCCCAGCAGGAGTAAACTCGAAGGGGCCAGTTATCATCCACGACAGGTACTTTCTTCTCATATTCTCCTTGAAGGGCTTATTTAGACACTTGTCTAAGGGCTGGAGAACTGGAGTTAGGCCACCGGGAATAACAGCTACATCGATACTTCGCCGCTGCAATGCTTCTTTTACTGACTCAGTGAGATGAGCACGAAAGGAGTCCCAAACCAACAGCGATCGCTCACCAGTGGGGTTTCTTGGCATGCAGGTACGAATCCACTCCTTCACGCCTATAATGAAAGAAAGAATTCAACAATCGATTAGACCTCACGTTAATTAAAGACTTCAATAAAGCATGCGGCTTTAAACACGAGTAAAGAGCACAGAAAAAAGAGCGCATATGAACAACACAAAACTGTTAACTTACCAGCTTCATCCATCCATCCTTTTTTGTGGAATGAAACACGAACTGAGTCCGGAACAACCAGGTCTCTCGGGGTTCGTACG